GCTTCGTGATCCGGAAACGTGCCAGTCAGTTTGACCTGAAAAAACTAACAAGGGATAAAACAGTTAAATGCCAAACCGGAACATGTCGGGTGAGACCAGACGATTTCATATATATCGACCTGAAGCCACTTACAACGACATACGACTATAGGAAGCTATCGCGACAAGTTTATAAACCATTGGCTAATCGTAAGATAAGCATACGTAAAGATCCGATTGCGAATGCATGTGCATGGGAAGACATGTTTGAACAAGTGAAATTAATCATGAGTTAATGCATAACCAAGCTCAACAATCCGGCCGAGTTGGGGTCCATGAAGAAGGAACGTGCAAATAAACACGATTAAACTAATCTAAAAAACCTGCATCGCGCAGACGACACCTAGTTTCGTCAAAGCTTAAACGTAATTAACATGCATGAACCCACGACATGTGACAATCTAGATTAAAATAATTCAGCCATTACGAGCATGTTATCTATTTGCAAAGGTAATCGAAAGTAATGATCATTGAAGCACGAATAAAACCATAAGAGAAGGCGAACAATATCAATCTAGATTGGGTGAAGTGTGTTACAAATATATAAAATATTTAAAACATGCAACACAGGATAACTTAATGAATCTATTTAGATTTTGCCGTATCTAATAGAGCCGATAACTGTCTTGCCTTCACTAAGCATATTGAGCAAACGCCTGCCGCACGGTATCTACTCATAAACGAAGCATAAGCAAAGACTTCTTGCTTGTCAAACAAAGATCCGCCGCACGATCATTGAAAACAAACAAGACTACTTACATCACGTCTAAATCCACCGCATGATACTAAACATGATAACAAGGTTGTCGGAACTTACGGAGGTCGACGGATCGATGACTCCTCTCGAAGAACTCGACGACACGACAAAAGGACTCGAAAGTTGGCACGGGGCCGGTTGTATTGATTTGGTTGTGAACCCCCTTTACAATGGTCGAGGGTCAATATTTATACCCTAGACAAAACACGAATCCTAAAAGACTACGATTTACAAAGGAACTCTTAAACAAACTTGGAAACTACGATTCCTTGCCCTAAACTCTCAGAGTCCTTTATTATTACAACTTTCATCTTTTCGATCGGCTTTGCCTGCCATCTTCTGCTTTCCCAAATGGAATCACCACCTTCTGAAGTAACCAACCGCACAAGTATTTAGCCGACCGCTCGTTTTGTTTGCCGAATGTCCTTCTTCCTGTATGCGGGTCCACCTGTCATCTTCCGAAGTCGACCAAAATCCAATGTTAACAGGAAGATACCGCCGGCAGCAATAGAGAAGATGCGGGAGGAGGTCATCAAGCTCGTGCCAAGGCTGCTCTACGCTGACCCGAGATACAAGATGGAGACGGTGAAGGATGCGTTCGACCTCGCCGTGGATGGCGTCTTGGAGAGAATGGCGGAAACAGAGGAGAGCCAAACAGGGTCCTACTGGCGGTGAACACCTGTGGAGGCAACTGATACATATCTGTTGAATGATTCTTGGGCAAGAAATCATTCAAATTTCATATATCACTCCGTTCCAAATTATAAGTCGCTTTGACTTTTTTTTTACATCCATTTTGCTATGCATCTAGATATAATAATATGCTTAGATACATAGTAAAATAGATACATAGTAAAATAGATGAAAAAAAATCAAAACAACTTATAATTTAGAATGGAGGGATTAGATTCTCTTCAAGGTGTGTTTAGGGTCACGGATTGAGTAACAAGCTCCTGTCCTTTTCCTTATAAGGCAACCTAAACAGGGTCTATTTAGTTTAGTGCTAGTGGGTGGCATACAGGAAGACAAAGAGAATAGGAGATGGGGTGACCCTGTTTGTTTGAACTTATCAATCTGATTTATTAGCTATGGTACATTGTTTTTATTTCACAACAAATCAGCTTTAACCAACTTATCAGCCGCAAAAACCGTCAGGCGAACAGCGAGAGACAGGAGATGGAGATGGAGATGGAGATGGGGATGTCAATGAGCTTTGGTGAGAACTTCGGCCGGAGGAATAGGAACTACTGGGACAAAGGAGGAGAAGCCGGAAGCAGGATAGCGACATCTCACGATTCACCGGTCAAGGAGAAGGGACGGGACAGGGACATCTCACTGTCACTGATGGAAGGAAGAGAGGCACATGGAAGATGATTTTTAGAGGTGTATCTCACTCTCTCTCTCATAGACAGTTGTATAAAAAGAAAGGGTCTTTAGAAATGGATTCAAAGATGGATTACACGTTTAGACCTTATTTGGTACGGATTCTTGAATGGATTCAGTTGTGACTTCTTTGGCTCTTTAGATGAAGCCCAACCAATCACTGACTTAAGAACTGTTTCGCGTGAAAAGGTCACAAGGGGCCGAAAAGCCATTTTTCATACTATAGGGGTGAAGCCATCTTTACGTGTCTTCTCAAACTTCTTAGGGCAAGCCCATTGCAAAGAAGTCATGTCCACACTTATAGCCTATTTGTTTTTTTTATGAAAACAGGCGAGGTTACCTCCTACTAAAATTTTTATTAAAACAGAAAGTAAGGAGCTCAAGTTAGGCCCCGTTTGGGACGGCTTCCGTCGGCTCCGGCTTACCTGACAAAAACACCGTAGCAAAAACCCGGTTTTCTCTCTCCTACTTTTTCTGTCTCACTGTAGCACGCGCACTGTAGCACGCGGGGAAAGCCAGAAACAAATGCCTTCTCCGACTTTGATGAACAGTGCCGATGTCAGTGAGAGGGGGAGGGAGGAGAGAGAAAACCGGCTTCGCGCTACAGTGTCACAGTCAGAAAAGCCGAAGCCGGAGGAAGCCGTCCCAAACAGGGCCTTACAAGATCACGAAACAAAGAAAATCAAGAACTACACAAGAGAGTCTAACCATTGATCTGTTTGATACTGTCCTTAGGATAGCTAGAGCAAACTCTTTCTTGAGCTTTAACTTTTAGGTTTTTAGATTAAAAGCTGGCATTTTGATTTTTGGCTTACCGGTATTATCTTTTTGTTACTGACTTTTGTAATAAATTTTTAAGTCAGAAAAGCTCCTATCAGCTTGCTTTTTTACTTTTAATATATTTCCTCAAAAGTCAGTTTTTTTAGCTTTTCAAAAACCAGCTCAATAGCTAGGTTGTTTGTTTCATCTTCTGGCTTCTAGTTGACAGAAGCTAGTAAAAAGCAACCCTTAGAAATCAATTTTCAGGAGTAATTGGTGTTACCGATCACCTCTAAAAATGTCTCTATTCTCAAGGCTGGTAGATATAACCAACCGTCTATAGAAATACGTACTAATTTTAGAGGTGGTTAGTATTACAAAACCATCCTTGTAAATAGAGGCATTTCTAAGGGTCGTCGGTAACACTAATTGTGGTTAGAAATCGATTTTCAACTGCGATTAGTAATGTGAATCACGACTACAAATAGATGCGGCACAAAAAATTCATAACTTTCAAATCATGCGGGTGTTTGAACAGACAAATTAATTCAGCTAAGAATCTAACGCTCCTGGAGACTCCTCAGACTTGCCTTTCTTTGTTGAAATGTGAAAGCTGACACTTTCACTCCTTTGGCCCATGGGCCATGGGTTTCATTCTCATATTGCTTTTATTTTGTAGCATGGGCCATTGGGCCATAATAGGCCACTATAGATTTGGTCTGCTCATTTTTGTTATGCTCGTAGAAGACACGTAATGGTCTAAGATTTAACAATATTCATTGTTCTATGAGAAGAGTACTTCACGAGTCTTATGCCATTGATAAATCCTATAGCTATGCCATTGAGACTTCGTTTGGATGGACTTTTATCCATCTCAATCCATATGAGTTGGAGTACATTAGAGTGAAACTTGGTTTAATTTTCGCCCCCAATCCACACTACACACATGTCGGTTAAAATGGATATGAGTGTATCCAAACAAGCCGCGAAGATAATGCACCTTCCCTTATTAGTCATTTGCATTTATGCCTTAACCATCTCTCTTCTCCAAATCCTAGACCTACTTCTCCTGTGACAAATACTAGGGACCTAATAATTTTAGAAACCTCAAACATACACGTTCTCTAAGCCGTGAGATATCGCTCACACGCGAGATGGATTAAGTTTCATTGATAGTTTTGAAGTGTCGTTTTCGAAAGATGACACATCAGATAAATATAGTGAAACATGGATGAAATCAGCACTCTTAATGCATAATTTTATTCAATTATTTCATAAATATTTAATCCCATGACTCATTGGAAACTGAGCCAAGAGAGTTTCCTTATACTCAAATTTTCTTCTCTTCTTAATAAACCCATTGTCATGTCAAAGAGAAATGCTTATCTGACAGGCCATGAAAAAGGGATAAAACTCTACCGACGCTCAAGTGGAACTAAACAAAAATCCTACCTGATTGCCGTGGAAGCATCTAATAGGAATCGGAGAAAAGAAAATGCACAGGCGGTACTGACAATAGATGACAAAATACATGGATAAGCCAATGAGCTGAGCTGATGAGCCTAAAGCAGCCATGCTGGTCAACACTAACCGCGCACGCCATTAACTCTCCATCTCCGATCCACATACTGCCGGGATGCATCTCGTTGACATGGCAGCTGGTGAGCTGACTTCGGATTACTCTACTCACTCGCACGTGAATGGCAAGCGCTCCGGCTTGCATCCCCAGGCAACAAGGCAGGCCTGCTGTTACGCAGCTTAATTAGCCTTGATTTAGATAGTCCAGTCGGAGATTACTGTAGAGTGATTCACTAGAGATCCCCGCAGTTTCCGACTTTCCGTGTCGGTGACAGCCACTGGCAGCGATTTGATTCGCCCGACGCAGGCGCTCGGCTTTTCATGGCCTCGCCCCGCGCGCGCTTCAAACACCGGCACCTCGGATCCCACGCGACGCGACGCGAGCCAGCCTCCGCAGCTCCACCCTGCCCGCAATCGGCTCCCCCGCCGTGCCACCTAGCTCGCTCGCTCGTCCTTGTCCCGGGGCGCACGTCTGCCGTGCGGCATGAAGCGGCACAACCCGAGCGAGTTGCCGCTGTCGTCGTCGGCGGACGACGGCAGGCGGCTGCTGGCGACGGAGGAGGCGGAGGACAAGATGGACAAGTACGACAAGGGGCGGGTCCGGTGTTCCCGGTTCTGCTTCCTCTTCGCGCTCGCCGCCACCGTATCCATCCTCGCGCACCACTGCTACGACGCCGGCCTAGGCCGTGGCGATAGTGCCGGCGTGGTGCGCATCGAGGCCGTGCAACACGGTCTGCCGCCGTCGGTGCATCGGGATCGGAAGATCGTTCCGATCGCTCGCGGCGGGGAGCCGTCGGAGTCCCGACGCTCCACCTCGGCTCCGGTGGACGCCGGCGACGACGCGTCGTCGAAGCCTTCGGCGTCACGGTCTGACGAGTCTGCCAATGGAGGCAAAACATCGTCGAAGCAGGGCTCGCCCTCGGGGGCTCATGCTCATACCAAGCAGCGCGGCGGCCACCCCTTCGCCCGCGCGCTGGCCGCGGCCGACGATAAGGACGACCTCTGCGGCGGTCAGTACATCTACGTGCACGAGCTGCCGGCCCGCTTCAACAAGGACATGGTCCAGAACTGCGACAAGCTGTCGCCGTGGACGGACATGTGCAGGTACACCACCAACAGCGGCTTTGGCCCGCTGCTCCGCGTCGGCAAGGGCGCGTTCCAGGGCAACGGCAACGGCTGGTACGACACCGACGAGCACGCGCTGGACATCGTCTTCCACGAGCGGATCAAGCGGTACGAGTGCCTCACCGACGACCCTTCCCTCGCGGCTGCCGTCTTCGTCCCGTTCTACGCCGGCCTCGACGTCGCGCGGCACCTCTGGGGTAACAACGTCTCCGCGAGGGACGAGCTGGCGCTGGACCTGGCGAGCCTGCTCACCAAGAGCCTGAGAGTGGCGCGCCATGGGCGGCCGCGACCACTTCTTCGTGGCCGGCCGCACCACGTGGGACTTCCGGCGGAAGGATGATGCCCATGCTGAGTGGGGGAGCAGGCTGCTGAATCTCCCCGCCTCCAATAACATGACCGCGCTCGTGATGGAGGCCAGCCCGTGGCACCTCAACGACGTCGCCATTCCCTACCCGACCTCGTTCCACCCGGCGAGCGATGAGGACCTCTTCTTCTGGCAGGACCGGGTGCGCGCGCTGAACCGCTCGTACCTCTTCTCCTTCGCCGGCGTGCCGCGCCCCGGCGACGCCAAGTCCATTGAGGGCCACCTCGTCGACCAGTGCAAGGTGTCGGGCTCCTGCTCGCTCATGGAGTGCAGCACCACGGGTCCGGACAACAAGTGCGAATCCCCTGCCAGCGTCATGAAACTCTTCCAGAGCTCGACGTTCTGCCTCCTGCCGCGAGGAGCCACCGACACGCGCCGTCACGCCTTCGACGCCATGCTAGCCGGGTGCATCCCGGTGTTCTTCCACCCGGCCTCGGCGTACGTGCAGTACACCTGGCACCTGCCCAAGACCCACACCGACTACTCGGTGTACATCCCCGAGGATGACGTGCGCAAGAAGAACGAGAGCGTGGAGGAGAGGCTCCGGAAAATACCGCCGGAAACGGTCCGGGCAATGAGGGACGCCGTCGTCGGCCTCATCCCGTCAGTGACCTACGGCGACGCGACGTCGAGGCTTGAGACGACGGTGAAGGATGCGTTTGACATCGCGGTGGCCGCTGTCATCAACAAGGTGACGAAGCTGAGGAGGGGCATCGTGGAGGGTCGAGCGGAGGAGGAGAAGCTGGAGAGGTATAGCTGGAAGTACCCGTTGTTGGCAGAAGGGCAGAAGGCAGAGGACCATCATGAATGGGATCCCCTCTTCAATTAGCTCGTCATTGATGCACCCATTATGCGTGGCATTGTTTGATGAAGAATTTAGGGGTCGTTTCGAACGCGAGAATTTCCTTTTCCCGATTTCTGCTGGAATTGAGTTGTTTCTTCACGAAAAAATCCTGTCTTCCAAGCATTCTCTTATATTTTACTCGGTTGTAGAGCTCTATATTATCATTATATATGTAGTGAGAACTGAGAACAAGCTCAGGGCTTCCAAACTAGATGTACCTCTTTTTGTTTTAGAGAAATCCTCGAATGCAGTTGCCTGATAATTTGTAAATCCATCAGTCACCTGCCTGAGAGACTGCATGCTGGACAGCGCTTGTGAGAGAGACCGGGCCGGGAGTGGTTTCCTATGATATCTATAAAAAAGAGTAGCGATATACCTGTCCAAACGGCTACACATAATAAGAGGTAGGAGGCCTGCCTCACTAAGGACTGATCTAAGCACGGCACGGCCCTCTTGCTGTCGTGCTGGGGCTGTAAACTAGTGTGGTGATTAGGCCTGATATTAGGCCTATCGTGCTGCCCCGATGCCTGAAGAAATACAAGAAGAAGAGTTACTTGGTTGGGTCAATGGAAATGAGAATGCCCTACAGCCTCCACAGCAAGTTAATGAGAATATTCAGTTAGGCTTTGTTCAAGTACAGGATTCCTGGCCTCAGAGGGATAGTTTTGGACCCTACCCTGAAATGCTGAGTAAAAAATCTTTTTGGTCAGGTTTTAAGTCTGGACAGTCATCCAAGCAGCCTTTACCTGTGGACCCATTTACTTTTGAAAATTTCACTTGGGCCAATGCATCTACTGGTGATAGTATGGGGAAAGCAAGCAAGAGCACTCCTAGCCCTGCTACTTTTAGGATGTGGGCCAAATTCTTCTCCAACAGAGATCCTGTGCTGCCTTCTGTTACCATACCAGCTGAATGGATGGATTTCTTTACTATGATGCTCCTTAAAGATCCATCTAATGAATGGGCCACCCAATTCCTGAAGTCTCAAGCCTGGACTCATCTCTCAAATTTTTCTTCTGGTAATTGCTATACCTTCTCCCTTCCTATTTCCAAGCCTTCAGTCATTTCTGAATTGTGCTGCTCTGACCATGCAGAAGAGCAAGTTGGTCCTTCTGATCCTTTTCAGACAATAGAGGGGCACTCCTCTCCCTTGGAGAAGCTGAAACAGTCTTCTCTAGACTCCCAAGTAGAACAAGTTGGCCTTTCTGATCCTTCTCAGAACCTGGAGGGACATCCCCCCTTGGAGAAACAGGATCAGGATTCTCTGGATCCTCAAATCCTAGCTACTCCTACAATCAAGAAGAAGGGTACCAAGAGAGGTAAAGCTGTCATTATCTCTGAATCTCAAGTCAGACGTAGTACTAGAGAATACATTCCCAGAATAAAGGTTTCAAACCAACTCTTTGTAAAGATAAGAGTTGTCTTGGATGTGATACTAAGCCACCTTTGATCTCTGATACTGTAGTTCGAGACCTGGGAGCAAGCTTCTGCAAGGTGGACCCAAAGTGTTTGACTGATGAGAAGCTCCTTTCAAAGCCTGCTGCCAAAAGAGCTGTTGCAAGGCCCAAGTCCAAAAAGGCCAAGAATAATGATGGCAAACCTGCCAAAGAAAATGAAGAGAAGCCTGTTGAAGAGGAGGCCGAGAGCAGTAATACAAGGCCTGCTGAAGGGGAGCCTGGGCCATCCAAGAAGCCTGGCCCGAAGGCTATAATAGGGCTAGTGTACCATGGGTACAACTTGTATGGAATAGATACTATTCTGATGGAAAGCTTCCATGCCTCACTTCTAATTTCAAAGGATCTTTCTGGTGGAGAGATTTACTGAAATTGTTGGACTCTTATAAAGGTATGGCAATGGCTACTATTCAAAATGGCACCTCTTGCTTCTTTTGGTTAGATCTTTGGGATGGGCAGGTTTTACAACATACTTTTCCGGAGTTATTCTCCTTCTGCAGAGATACAACTGTTTCAGTTCAGACAATTAAATCAGCAGCAACAACCATTACTTTGTTTCACCTGCCTTTGTCTACTGAAGCTTATGAGCAATTTCAGCAACTTGACATCATTATTCAGAATATACAGCTTACTTCAGAATCAGATCTGTGGAGATATATATAGGGTTCAAATATTTTCTCTTCAAGGAAAGCTTACAAAGTTCTCATTGGGAGTTCCCAGGTACATCAAATATATAAATGGCTTTGGAAATCTGCATGTTTTCTTTTGGCTTCTACTCAAAGACAGGTTGAGTACCAGAGAATTACTCAGGCGTAAAACCATGTTTCTTCAGGACTATAATTGTGTGCTCTGTACACATGGTGTAGAGGAGTCTCTCTTCCACCTCATGTTTGATTGCCCCTTGGCAATAGCTTGCTGGAATACTCTGAATCTGTTGATACCAGTCTCTTCTTCACCTTCGCAGATTTTTGAAGCTTTCAAGACTCAGCTTCATCTGCCATTCTTCATGGAAATTCTGGTAACAATGTGTTGGTCCATTAGGTCTGTTAGAAATAATGTCATTTTCAAAGGAATTCTAGCCTTCATACAACGTCGCAAGTTGATCTTCAGGACAGAATTTGCCTTAGTTATACTAAGGGCAAAATCAGCATACCATCCCTCAATTGATTCATGGCTAGAAGCATTTATGTAATCCTTTTAATTTTCTTTGTAACCTTCTTTGTTTCTTGACTCCTGTAATGGAGAATTGTAGTACTTAGTAAAATCAATAAAAGCACAGTAGGGGGCTTTACCCCTCCTGTTTCCCCTCAAAAAAGAAGTAGGCCCCCCATTGGCCTTGAAGAAAACCCTAGATATAAATAAAAACTAGCCTATTCTCATTGGGCTGCTTTGCATTCGCCCGCCCCGCCGCTCCCCATTGACCACTGCAGCGACCCTCTCACTCGATTTGTTCAACATTGTTTTTTTAATCTTTTTTAATAAATATTTTAATAATAACAGCACCAACGACTCGGGTGCGACCGTGCTGTCGCGTCAGACGGGTTGGCGTGACAGGGCCAAAACAGCACAGCCCCAACCCCTTTCTTCATTCTCTATTCTCTCTCCCTCTTTCCTATGAGCTCGTGAACGGGTTTTGGAGGGCTCTTCTCTTCCTCCCATTCTCTTTGTCTATGTGATCAAGTTTGGATTTTGATTTTGGTTTTGGTTTGCAACAGTCTCGAGCAGGAGGTATGACTTCCTCACCCTTTGATGTTTATCTGTTGAGTTGATGTTTGTACGCTGCTATGGTTTACACTATTGTGTCCAAGACTGGCTTTTGTTTGGTTAACTGAAAGTTTGTTTGGCTAATGATGTGTAATATATTCCGATTGCATGTGTACTTGTCATACTGTTCTAGTGTTGGGACTGGTGTCTGGTTTACTGCTTTGTTCTAGGGTTTGACTTGTCTTTGGGTTAGACTGTTGCGGTGTTTGCACAGTGTGTCTGCGTTGGACTGTTGTAACTAAGGTTAGCTTGAATTGAAGTTAATTTGTAGTGATTAGATGCATGGTTTTCGTGTGTATCTATAGAGATGATTTGCAGGGATTAAGTATGTTTCTAGTGTTTGGCTTGATGGGTTTGGATGACTATATAGATGATTTGTAGGAGGATACGTACCTTGGATGCTGTTGTAGGGTACATGGAAATGGCTGAACTATTTTGTAATAGTATTCCTTTGATAGTTTTGATGGCAGGTCCAATGGCACTTCGACATAATAAGCAGTTCTTGCATTATCGAAAGATCATGGAGCCTTCGGTCCTTTCCTACCAAAGACTACCTACACCCTTATATGATTTGTGGCATACCGGCCTTTGTGAAACAGTCCAAGCATCCCGAGTCGGTCGGTGGCCGTGCGTTCTACACATGTCAACTTAAGCGTGCCCCAAACTTGATGCCTATCTAGAGGAATGCAACTTCTTCTTGGTGGATCAATGGCCATGAAATATTCGATCCATTGATTAGGTTGTTTCCTTATGACCCCTCAAGAGCTGGTCATATTCTCGAGTTTGTTCGTGGGTTCCGCCATCACCAAACCCTCCGGATATGATAGAGGAAGGGAAGATTGACGCTAGTTTGTATCGTCTAGCCAATCCTCCTCGTTGCCACCGTGGAGTGTCGTGGTACTAACTACTCCCACCAACTATGTCGTCCATATCATGTGTTCCATCTCTGTTCCCATCATCCTCGACAAATGTTTCTACATTGAAGTCATCATTCAAGGCACCGAGCTGAAAGGACATATCAACTTCCCTCACACTAACCGATTGCAACGCTTCGTCTTGGGTAAGGTTCTCTATGGGCTCGACTTCCACATTATCATCCACAGGCACCACAAATGGGATACACCCCTTTTCCACAACTTCCAAGCACCTAACACCACTACTCTTCATAACTTTCTTATAGTTCTTCTATTCATCCTCACATGACAAAGCCATTAACACATAGTGTGCTCTTTCCTTCTCACAGTCAAATCGACCTCTCAAACTTATTGCCCACATAAATTTCTCCCGGTATTGGCTCAGCAAAGCATCAAAACTAGGAGGTTGACTAAAGAACTGAACTTGTTTCATGCATGGTTTCAAACTCCCCATTTCATTTAAAGTTGCCACCATGAAACAATCGCACTAAATGATCCATCTACAAAATATGAAGCAAGCCATCAACACCAACAACAACTACATATTTCCAAACCAAATGTGTATTCACTCCTACAGTAACACATCACAACCTTCGCAGTGATCACAACAAAGGCAACAAACAAACCTATCCAAATTCTTCATTTATCAACTACCTAGGTCCATGCAACACTAAGTTTACATCGAATCCATAGGTTGGCTATATCGAAAACCTAATGTACGCATCAAATACCAACAACGAACGCAAAAAAACTCACAATATCCCAAATTTCCTAACCCTAGGCATAAAAAGAATGAGCCACCAAATCAATAAATCAAGGGGGAAAAGTTGAACCTGCCCTTGTAGGAGGGTCC